CGTACACGTGCCCGGCGTGAGTTTTAAGACACCGGTCTGGGACGTGAACCACGGTTGACTACGTGGGAATCCAGCGACATAGCCATTACACTAACTGCTGGTTCCCCACATTCACGCACTTTTTAAAAGTCACAGTGGCATCCTATTATATATGAGTAATGTTTTGTAACTTGTTCTGTTTGTTCTGTGATATATCCAGACGTCATCTGTCAGTGCATATAAATAAATAGAGCCTTAGTTAAAGATTTGTACATTGTGCAAATTGCTTTTGTCTATTTTTTTTATTCATGATTATAAGTAATACTGCAATGATTTCCTCATGCAGAGATACTTAGAAGCTTATGCAAAAAACTCTGTAGCAAAGTTCTAGAAATGGGTTTCCAGGTCAGAGGGTCTGAGCATTTCACATTGGGTATAAGAACTGTCACATTGCTTCTGAAACCATTTCCCCTTTTCATGCTCCCACCAACCGGTGCATGATTCCCATGCTCTTGTTGGGATATTATCAGTCTTCAGTGTTTGCCGATCAATTATCTCATTTAATTTTCATTTCTGTTATCATTAGTAAGGTTAGACATCTGTTCATGGTTTTTTAGTCATTTACATTTTATCTATGAATTAACTTTTTCTATCCTTTGTGCATTTTCCCCTGGGGTTTCTCTTTTTAAAATTGATTTATAGGGGGAGAACAGGTAGTGTGGTGGTTAAAGCACTGGACTCTCACATGGCCAACCATGGTTCAAGTGCCAGATCTGGCGGCTTGCTTTCTCACTTTCTCTTCCTCTCTCTGTGTCTATTTCAGTCTCTCTCTGGTGAGCACACATTCCCTGTAGCAAATTAAAAATTACTAGTAACAATAAATAAAATTAAATAATTCTCCTAAAAATTTATTTATAGGTGCTCGCTATAATATAAGTATTAATTCTCAGTCACTAAATGATTTCCCAATGTATTTGTCTTTTAACTTAGTTCGCGGTGCCTTTTGTTATATAAAAGTTAGTTATTTTTCACCAGATCTCTCAGTCTTTCTTTTTGCCTTCTTAAGCATCTCAATCCCAAGATCATAAAAAAAAAAAAAATCTGTATTTTCTTCTATTACATTTATTGTTTACTTTATGATTAGTTTTTTTTGTTTTTGTTTTTAGGTTTTGGTCACAGGGGCATGTCTGCTTGCTAGAGAGAGACACAGAGAAAGGGAAACTAAGAAATCCTCCCTAGGGGGATGGCCACACCACAGTCCCTTTTCCTCCATTCTCCTCCTGGGATTTTGGACATGCATGCACACTTGTCTGGTGCAATTTTCAAGCCACCAGGTCTGGGACTTGAACCATGGTCAGCCATGTGAGAATCCAGTACCTTAGCCACCATGCCATGTGCTGGCCCCTATGATTAGAATTTTAATCTATTGTAACATACATACATACATACACACACACACACACATACATATATACATATATATATATATATATATACACATATGTGTGTGTGTGTGTGTGTGTGTGT